CAAAAAATCAGCCGGGCGAGGTAGTGCATGCCTGTAATTCCGGCTACTTGGAAGGCTGAGGCGGAAGGATCACCGGAGCCCAGCAGGTCGAGGCTGCGGTGGCCGGGAGCGGCCACTGCACTCCAGTCTGGGCAACAGAGTGAGACTCCAATTCAAAAAAAAAAAAAATTAGCCAGGTGGCATGTGATGACACATGCCTATAGTTCCAGCTACTTGGAAGGCTGAAGCAGAAGGATCATCTGAACCCAACAGGTCAAGGCTGCAGTGGCCGTGAGCGTGTCACTGAACTCCAGCTGGGGTAACAGAGTGAGACTCCAACAAAAAAAAAAAAAAAAAAAAAAAAAAAAGAATATTCGTGTTATCAGCGTGTGCTGGTCATCTATTGTAGATCTGGAGCAGACTTTTAAATGAGACCAAGACTCCCCATCCTGTTGTATTAATGGCCCTTCTCTGTGCTCCCACAGTCCTTGTTTATCCCCAAAACACATGCCACATTTTATGGTAGTCTTTAAATCCAGACTATTATTCACAAGAAGGGAGACCACATCTTACCAGTGCTTCTCGTTGCATCTTCCTGTCTGCCTGACACCATGCATGACGTGTAGTGAGCATTCACTGCATTTTTGAATAAATTGGAGAACACCAGTTCTGTCATTTTCCAAGCCAGCATCCATACAGATGGCAGTGTAGGATTTGACCATCAAGTATATGCCCCAGCTCGGGTTTCTCCATAGGAGAGGCACTGAGAAGAAATGTGTTCCAGGTGAAGTGTTATCTCTGTAAGTTTAGAATTCCAAGGGTTTTGTGCTCAAGAGCAAAATTTCTTTTTTTGAGTTGGAGTCTCACTTTGTCGCCCAGACTGGAGTGCAGTGGCCGCTCCCAGCCACCGCAGCCTCAACCTGCTGGGCTCCGGCGATTCTCCTACCTCAGCCTTCCAAGTAGCTGGAACTACAGGCACGTGCTACCACGCCCACTAATTTTTTTGATTTATTGTATAGACAAGGTCTCGCCAAGTTGCCTGGGTGGGCCTTGAACCCGCAGGCTTAGGCAATTCACTCGTCTTGGCCTCCCAAAGTACTGGGATTACAGACTGAGCCACCAAGCCCAGCTGGAGCAAAATTTCTTATTCTCTCTTGGTTGTGAACTACTTTTTGAGCTGTAGATATTATCAGTTTATCTCAATACTGTTTTGTTTTTTTAAAGGTGTTAATGAAGTGAATGTAAAGAAAGGGTGTTTTGGAAACAGTGATTTAATTCACTAAAGCTGTGAGTCTTTCCTCCAGGTTAACTTTTGTGTTATATAAAAATGATTGGTCAGAAAGAGTGCTTTTCTGAATGCTATCTTGGTTTTGTCAACCAATTCATTACAATTTCTTTTCCTGACCTTTTCAGTGATGTATTCTGAAAGGGGCAAGTGTTTAAATTATAATGATGATTGGATAATGGGAAGGATTCCTTCATTTTTGTTATCTGGGGAAGTAGAAAAATAAATAACATTCATAAGAGATTATGTATGCTGGTAGAGTAGAAGACTTTTTGAGGAATAAAAGGAGAAAAGGAGTATAAGATAGAAAATGTAGGAGTTGAGAAAAAAATAGATTGCAAAAAAATAACAATGAGAGATGTAATTGATCATTTGCTCTTGCCACATGCTTCCACAGCATTGTAGACTTAATGCATGTTGTGTCTTCCATACAATGGCTATGAAAAGTAGACATTGATACCCTTATTTCATAGAAGAGATGCCAGACTTATATAGCTAGTGAGTGACAGAAGAGTTTTTCAGACCTAGACCTGTCTGGTTCCAAAGCTGACTGTTCCAGTTTGACCTAGCAAATACTTTTATACGAGAGGAAGCTGAGGGAGAGTCATTGTGTAGCGTCATGGTTTAAAGCATATGCTGACTCTAGAGCCTGTTGGCCTGGATCAAATCCTGGCTCTGTGAAGGCTCTGCCACCTACCAGCTATGGTACTTTGAGCAGGTTGCTTGATCTCTCTTTATATCTTATTCTCCTCATCTGTAAGATCAGGATAATGGTGGAACTTTCCTCTTAGAGTTGTGAATTAATTTAGTTAGTAGATAGTAAAACGTGTAGAATAGATTCTGACATATAGAAGGCAATATGTAAAGCACAGTATAAGTGTTTCCTGCAGCAACTATTATTATTAGTTTGTGTGTGTGTATCCTGTGTGAAAAATTCTATCTCTGAGAAGTTTGAGGAAGATGTTGTCAAAACTATTGTCAGAGCTGTTTCATCAGTGTCAGACTTATCTCTGGGTTTGCCTCATGGGAGTTCTTACTGTGTCATCATATCCTAAATCCCCAAACACACACACACACACACACACTCTCACACACACACTCTCTCACACTCACATACTCACACTCACCTTCTTTTCCCTTTCTAGAATTCAAAGCCAATTCAGACCTTCTCTTTATTATTATTATAAAAGAAATAAATATAAATATAAAGATTCATTGTAGAATCCAATAGCCTAAGTTAAAATTTGCAATTCAAACCAAAAAAATTTAGGAGAATTTCTTGTCTGACATTTTTGTGTTCAAAATAGGGTACTTTTCAGCCTCCCTGCAATTCAAGTCATAGGATTGAGGCAGATTGTTACATGAAAATAAAAAGTTTGGGACATTTCTGATGATTGTTTGCTTCTCTTGTAACATAGCTTGATTATTTTAACTTCCTTTTCCTAGAAAATTGAACCTTCTTATTTAAGAGCACTAGCCTTTTTAACTTGCTGAAGTTTACGTACTTGGTTAAGGAGAATACATGTAAGTAGAGAAAGAGCTATAGCTGTTACTTTGCAGAGATCCTAACAATTTGTCTTGTTCTGAAACTAATGAAGGGTAAGAAGGGCTTTTTTAAAAATTTCTGTTTGGAGGCTTGAGGGGCAAAGATTTTTCTTATGTAACATACTAACTCATCATTTTTGGCCATGTTAACTTAATTAACTTAAATAGATTCTTTGTTCCAAACTCACCAAGGAAGTCTTAATAATTATAATGAATTGTTATAATACTAATTTTAATGTTTTCACTGTGTTAAGGACTATATTTGTATATTATTTATGCTATAATATAATCTGTTTGATTAGTGCTCGTGGCGTTGTTCTAAATATTAATCTGTTGTAACATATTGTCCATAGTTTTCTATTTTTTTCTTAGTGATGCCGTTTACTTCTTGTATGGTAGCCATTTGCAATACTTTATAAAGAGAATGTATTTCTGGGAAGTATTCCTAGTCTCAGGTATAGCAGGTATAGAATGCTGTACTTCTCATAGCAAAAGAAGTACAGCATTGTAAGTTAAGGCCTTACTATTGCCTAGTAATAATGCTTACTATAAATAATAGGCAGGAGCAGGACTTTTGCTGATGGCATTCATTTCTGCTAATTTATCAAATACATTTCTAAGTCTTTTGGGTGTGGTTTAATCCTGTTCTTTGAGTGCTTCTCTACCTGTGAAGACAAATCATTTAGTTACTGTACATACTTACCACTGTCATGACCAAATATTATTGCTTAAGCCAAGTCATGCAATTTAACTTTCAGCCACTTTTGGCTACTACCGAGCAGTTACTCCAGTCAGAAACGTTTTGTACTAAGGGTGAAATAGTGTATTTGCACTGTGCATATTCCTATGGGCCTTTATTGCCACTTTTACTTTACTTGGTAAGACAGATTTTGGGTTGCACTTTTTTCTCAGAGGAGTGTTTATAGATCCTTTTGTTGTGAGACAGAATGATCTCAGTGGTATTAGACGCAGCTTCTAATGCAAGCCTCAGTTGGCATCTCCTCTCCCCTGTCCTGAGAGGACTTACTGTGCACAGAGTATGAAGCAGTTGTGGAGTGCTGTGCCTTTGTCTAGATGCCTTCTTGTTTGAAATGTCTTTGTTGTTGTTTTTCCTCAAAATTTTAGTAAGCTCTGCTGTGCTTCCAACAAATTATAAGACTAATTACTTGTTTCCACTCTCATAATCTGTTGGAATAAACATTACGTCTCAAAAAAAAAAAAAAAAAAACTGTGGAGTCCTTGGCTGGGCGTGGTAGCTCACACCTGTAATCCCAGCACTTTGGGAGGCCAAGGTGGAAGGATCCCTCGAGGCCAGGTGTTAGGGACCAGCCTATTTTTAGAGATAGCGAGATCCTGTCTCTAAAAAAAAAAAAAAAATACAAAAAATAGCTGGGCATGGTGGTATGCGCCTGTAGTCCCGGCTATTGAGGGGCCGAGGTGGGAGGGTTGTTTGAGCTCTGGAGTTCGAGGCTGCAGTAAGTTAATCGTACCACTGCACTCCAGCCTGGACAACAGAGCAAGACTCCATCTCAAAAAACCAACAAACAAACACAAAAAACAAAAACCTATGGGTTCCTCTTGTTATCAGAGCAAATGATTAAGATTGTGAGATAAACAGCAGAAAGACCCAGAAAGAGGAAGGGAGCCAGATCATGAAACCTCACAATTTGAGACTGTCACTTTTAAAAGCAGCCATGGGGTTCTCTAGTTATTTTCCTGAACTCATTGCATCCTCCTCACATTAACTTTCTTTCCCAATCCTATTTCTTTTCACTAAGTTTCACTGTCCAGTTTTGGAAGTTTGGACACATTTGTAGCAATTTTCTTTTTTTCTTTTTTTTGAGTTGGAGTCTTGCTCTGTTGCCCAGACTGGAGTGCAGTGGCCGCTCCCGGCCACCGCAGCCTCGACCTGCTGGGCTCCGGCGATCCTTCCGCCTCAGCCTTCCGAGTAGCCGGAATTACAGGCATGCGCTACCACGCCCAGCTAATTTTTTGATTTATTGTAGAGATGAGGTCTCGCCTGCCCAGACGGGTCTCGAACCCGCGGGCTCAGGCTATCCACTCACCTCAGCCTCCCAAAGGCGCGGGATTACAGGCTGAGCCACCGAACCCGGCTTGTAGCAATTTTCTAATTTATCTGACTGTTTCTTATTGGGGTATATTAATCCTCTTCCTTCTTTACTTGTGACAGGGGACTTGTACATGACAGCCGGAATAACCTCCAGCTGAGGGGCTTGGTGGTACTCCTTATTTCTAAAGCAGCTGGGCCCAGCAGCACGAACGCTTCATGTCAGAACTATGACACGGTCAGTGGGATCTACTCATGGTAAGAAGAAATTCGTTTTTGACATTGCTTTCTAAATTATGTTTTGTTTTTTTTTTACTGGACATTGGTCAGTGGAAATCACTGTTTTGCTCTTTGTTATTCTCTAGTTCAAAGATAGATTAAAATACATTATAAGATTTTTTAAAAAATGGATTATTCACTGGGCACGGTGGCTCATGCCTATAATCCCAGTACTTTGGGAGGTGCAGGCAAGAGGATCCTAAGCCCAGGAGTTTGAGACCAGCCTGGGCAACATGGTGAGACCTTGTCACTACAATAAATCAAAAAAATTAGCCAGGTATGATAGTGTGCGCCTGTAGTTCCAGCTACTTGGAAGGCTGAGGCAGAAGGGTTGTCGACTCTGGGGTGACTGTGAGCGTGCACTCTAGCCTGGGCAACAGAATGAGACTCCAACTCAAAAATAAATAAATAGAGATGTTGTTTCTTGCCAGCTGTGATGATCAATGATGCTTTCTCATTAACAAGCAGCAAAGATTACTGTTGTGGCTGCAAATGCCCATTCCTCCAGGCAATCTAATATTTTGTGGACCTTTTACTATTTATTCATACAAGTGTCTTCATTTTAAAGGATATCTTGGGCTATCCCTTCTCAGTTTCCATTCACTCTGAAATAATTTATATTTCTTTAGTGCTTTTAGGTTTCTAATCATCTTTATGACATGTATCCCATTTGATCCTAATAATGTCATAGGTAAGAGTTGTTATACTCACGTTACTCTTAAGAAAACTGACATTCAAAAACCTTGAGACATTTTCAGTTGTCACAGCTGGTAAATGGGGAAAGTTGAAGCTCTAACTAGTTCTCTTCTTCTCTCTAAATCTCCTGTGGATTTTTTTCTTGATTCCATTCCACCTGTCTAATCTGTTTCAAAGGATGTATTTCAGTTGTAGATTAAACTAGCTATTAGTTAGCTAATCTAATTAGATTAGACTAGCTATTAAGTGAGTGTGCCAAAAAAGGTCATCAATACTTGTAACTTTTAAATGGAAACTTACTTGGTGAATCTGTAATACTTTACATCCTTCCCCCAAACCTATTTGAATTACAGTTCAGAAGTTTACTTTTTATTTTTATTTTATTTTATTATTATTTTTAAGCAAACAACTTTTTTTAAAATGTTAAAGATGTGGGGTCCAAGTCAGGATTGAGTACATAAGTAGTCTAGGTACAGGTGAAGTTTGGGCCTCCCGTTGACCCTCGCTTTGCCTGGATTGGGATCAGGCACCCTTATGATGTCATGTGCCACCACCTATCCCCTTGCCCAGCAGTGTTTCACTACTGCCAATCTCTTTTTTGTAGTATTGTGTTAGGGGTTCAGGGTTCATTTAAGAAGTTTACTTTTTAAATTTTATAGAGAGTGCTTGGCTAAGTTTAGTTGAGATAACTAGAAAAAGCACATGAAGATTTAGAATAAATTCTAATAACTTGTTGTCCTTGGAAAGCAAATGGACTGCCCATCACTTAATAGCTCATGAATCTCTGTTTTCTATTAGGAATTCCATTGATTTTCAGTCTGCCAGCTTTAACCCTGTCTTATTAGTCAGCTTGTACATTTGGTAAACACACATATGGCTAATGAACATTAGCTGTGTTTTATTATCTCTAATTCTAAAGTAACCTTTGGAAAATATGACTTGACATGTAATAGGTGTTTAATAAATATTCGTTGTATAAGTGAATCATTCCCATTTTACAAAAGAGATAACCAATGACGAGGTTAAGACTTGTCTAAAATTTTGCATGGTAGATCTGGGATTTTAATACTATTTTTATTATAAAGTATATACCCTTTCTACTTGGCAGGGCTGTTACATGTGTGTACATGGTGCAGAGTGAGACAGCTTTGTGTTTTTAATTTTTTATCTAGCCTTTAAGAAATAGTTGCATTGCTTCTGATCCTTCATGTAACATATTTGGTAGATGGTTATTGTTGTCTGAGCAGCTTGAGTAAAGCAACTTTGCCAACAAGTAGGTATGCATCATGAACATAAAAACTTTCTAAATAACATAAATGAGTTTCATACTCAAGTGTATTGAATCCACAGTTACATTTAGGAAATAATCCTGGCATGTAGTTCCAGGCTATTTTCTATCATCAGACTTGATCTAGTAAGTCATTGGGGTGTTTGGGTGTTTTACACACTTGTTAATGTGAAAAAGTAATTTGGTATGGTACTATGAGAAATCATTAATTTGTTTCTCTGCCCCTGAAGTCATCTGTTTAGCTCCTGCTTCCTTAATTGTTCAAGTGTAACTTTTGCTGGAGGCTTGTATCTATAATGCCACAGTGAATTATTTAACATTTGAGGGAAGTACTGATTTGGGAGCTTTTTAATTCACCTCCAAACTACTGGGATTTACATTGTTGGTATTTTTCTCTTATACACTTGACTTTAATGTCAGATAATGGGACCTGAGTAAATTACCTGAGGGACCAAATGAGAGTTAGGTGATCTCTTTTGTTTGGCCTAAGGATATAACTGGTGCTTGTGAACGTGTCTAGTGAATTTATCACATAATGGCCAAGAGATGCAGAATTTAGGCTACAATGCAGTAACTACATTTTGAAAAACAAGCAAGAGAGCAGCATTTATATAAATGCACCATAAACATTCACCACTGCCTTTTGCCACCAAGACTGTGGGCCTTAGGTTTATTCCACCATCCCTGACTTTTAAAAAATTGGTTGCAAATCCAGTAAAAAAAAGTGTTACTAGATGTACAAGTATCTCTAGCCAGGATTGAGAAAATGCTTACAATTTCCAATTCTGTTAATGATAGGATGTTTTTATTTTGTGTTCAAAAGCTAATTCATTATAATATGTAATACCTAGTATTTAAAAATAGACTTTGGTCATGTAATACGATTATTAAGTTTAAAGAAATTCAAGTGAATTTATTTTTATTTTTATTTTTTTTATTTTTTATTTTTTGAGTTGGAGTCTCACTCAGTCGCCCAGATTGGAGTGCAGTGGCCGCTCCCAGCCACCGCAGCCTCGACCTGCTGGACTCCAGCGATCCTTCTGCCTCAGCCTTCCAAGTAGCTGGAACTATAGGTGTGCGCTACCGCGCCCAGCTAATTTTTTGATTTTTTGTAGAGATGAGGTCTCACCAAGTTGCCCAGGCGGGTCTCGAACTCGCGGGCTCAGGCAATCCACTCACCTCAGCCTCCCAAAGGCGCGGGATTACAGGCTGAGCCACCGAGCCTGGCTTCAGGTGAATTTTTAAACAGATGATTCCATTTTCTTGTAAGTTTTATTGAGAACTGGCTCAGGGACACCTGGTCCTATCCTGGGAAGTGAGGGCCAGGTGGGGACCCAGACTTCACCTGTATGCAGCCTGCTTGTGTAGCTAATCCTTACTTGTACCCAACATCTCTACAATTAAATCAAATTTTATTTGAAAAAAAAGAACAAACTCAATTGTTTTACTCATCTTACTAGCAGTTAAAAACAGACTACAAACTGAACACATTTTCATTCTACCTTAATTCCCTGAAACTTCCCAGTGCCTTAACCGTGGGAGAAAAAGCTGAAGCAAATATGCCAAACACATTTTTTTCCTTGAGTGTCCAACTGGACTACATTTCCCAGCTTCCTTTGCAGTCAACTGGCCATGTGACTGAAATCTAACCAATTGAGTGTGAGTACAAGTGATCACTATTTTCGGACCATAAAAATCTTGCATTTGTAATACTTCTTAAGCAGATGATCGGGCAGTGACCTACTTAGAATGAAAGATGTCTATAGCCCTGAATCACTCTTGGAAGAGAACCACCTACCCATCAGGAACAATCCTTATGGACTTGGTGTATGAGAAGAAAAATCTGCTAAGCCTCTTAAATTGCTTTCATTTGTTGAAAGCAGCTAGTGTTATCTTAATATATCTTTATGGTTTCTGTAAACGTTGTCATCATTCTATCACCCAGTCACCCCAGTGAACTGGGTACTTTTGACTACTCCTACCCTTTTACTTCCCATGCCAAATAAGCCACCCACTCATAGGTTTCCCCAGGTCTCCTTTTTTAAAATCCATTTCCACTTTCCTGTTTCAGGCCTTTGTTACTTCACGTCTCAGCTTTGACAGCAGCTGCCTGTCTGTCTCTCTGTCTCTAAATGCGCCTCCTTCACATTTTTCCTTGCTAAATTCAACACCTTAAGGTCTCGCTGTGTCACTCATTAAACTAATAGTTATGAAGCACTCACTGTGTGCCGGGTACCATGGTTGGTGGAGGAGATGCAAGCTGAGTAGTGCATAGTATTTGCCCTCATTGACTTTTGCATCAAACCAGGGAACATACAAGCTTACAAACAACTGTCCTATAATGCTATAGATAGAGTCTAGACAGAGTTCTGTGGAGGAATTAAGGACATAGAAAATTAAGAAAATTTCAGAAAAAGCAACCATTTGGGACTTGCAAAACGAGGAACTTATAAGTGAGCTTTGAAGGTAACTAGGAGGTCATAAGTCAGGGAAAAGCAGGTGGGTGAGAGGCACAGTAAAGGGTGGCTTATCCTGGCAGAGGAAGTAAGGCACTGTGTGGCCAAAGCTATGGGGTATAGACTCTAGTAACTGGCAGGACCCAGGACAGTGTCAACATTGCGATAGGCTCTCAGTACTTAATTGTTACATAATTGTATGGATTGACAGAACATAAACTAGCTTAATTATGGATTGACTCATGTCCTCCCAAAATTCATATGTTGAGGTATTAATCCCCAGTATCTCACAGTGTGATCTTATTTGTCAATAGGGTCTTTATAGAGGTAATCAAGTTAAAATGAGGTCATTAGAATGGGCCCTAATTCAGTAAAACTGGATCTTTAAAAAAGGTGCAAAGAGGGCAAATACTATGCACTACTACTCAGTTTGCATCTCCTGCACCAACCATGGTACCTGGCATACAGTGAGTGCTTCATAAATATTAGTTTAATGAGTGATCAGAGCAAGACCTTAAGGTGTTGAATTTGGACACAAA